ATATTGACTATATATAAAGTAATTTTCCCACGGCACACCTTACACTATCTCACGGCACACTAGTGTGCCGCGGCACAGTGGTTGAAAAACACTGACCTAACCAATAAGCAAATTAATTAATTAATTAAAAATCAGCTCGGGGTGATGTATGAAAGAGGAACACGGGTGGCTATCTGACAATAAATGAATAAATAAAAAATTAGCTCACAGTGATGTACAAAAGAGGGGAACATGGTGGATTCCAGTCTTGTCCTGCCTCTTTCGTGACTTGTTTGCTTATTCTAACCAAGAGCTTTTTTTCCCTTTTCTCCAAGAGCGCCAAGCGGTGTGCGAACCATTCACTTCCATTTCTCTTCACAATAACCACCCTGCAACATCAGCTTCCTGTAGGAGCAGCGTCTTTCCTTAAGGAGCCTAGTTTCAGGGTGACTTAGCAATGGTCCTCTTTCTCTAGATATATTCAGATCAGTGGTATCTTACGTAACTGTGATAGTCAGGGTTTCATGTCTTCAGAACCAGCAATTTATCTACTTCCGTAGTATTCTCTTGCTCCTTTCACCCTGGCTCTCAAAATTTCAAATGGGAACTGCATAGTTGCAGTACCCTTATCATCTGGCCTATGTGTGTCTTATTGAATTTCCTGTTTTTCTTCTTCCTGCCTTCCATTTTTTTCCTCTACTGCTTGTATGAGTTGAAGAGTACAGGTAGTCCTCAACAGTTAATTTAGTGACCGTTCAACGTTAGAATGGCGCTGAAAAATGTGATTTATGACCATTTTTCACAATTACAGCCTTTGCAACATTCCCCCATGGTCACATGATCAAAATTTAGATACTTGGCAACTGGTTTTTATTTATGACCGTTGCTAGGTCCTAAGGTCATGTGATTCCCCTTTTGTGAACAACTGGCAAGCAAAGTCAACGGGGAAGCCTGATTCACTTAACAACCAGATTACTAACTTATCAACTGCAGTGATTCACTTAATAATGGAGGCAAGAAAGGTCATAAAATAGGGCAAAATCCATTAGCAAATGTCTCGGTTAACACATTTTGGACTGAATTGTTGTAAGTTGAGGACTATCTGTAAAATCTGATTCTTATCTAAAGAGCTATTCTGATAGTAAGTTTTCTTATGGTCTTTCTCCAAGTTCAGTTCTCTGACCTGGTATAATCTATGTTGGGAGATCTATTGTTTAGGTTATTTGTCAGATAGTACCTCTGTTTGAGTGACTTTATAATTTAGCTTTTTGCTTAGGAAGGTTATTTTGGGAGCTGTAGCCATCTTTCCCAGTTTTATCCAGGAAATATTGTCTTATTTTATCTGTATTATCACTTAGAAAGCAAGTTACTATCATTTTATTGGATTTCGATGATAAGAATTATAGCAGATACCCTGTAATTGTTTCAAATTCTTTTAGGGCAAGCTGACATACATACTTTGCTTTAAAGGTTATTATTGATTTGATTTTTTATAAAGATTAATGAGATTATAGTTTTATAAATGCTAACATTTAAATTAGCAGGAACATATGAATAGTGCTGTCTTTTAAAGTTTTAGATTTATTAATTAAATAGACTGTTTGCAAGGTTATACTGAAATGCTAATATTTTCATCAAGTAGTATTTTATATGTTTTGAATAATGGCAAGACTTGGAAAAAATATTTTGCCTATATTTATGTAAAACTAAAGAAACTTTGGGAAAGTACATATAATTAACAATTTATTCCTGGAAGGGGAAAATGTATTCCCCTATTCAAACTGCCCAATAATATCAGTATCATTTGAATAAGTAAGGTAACCCTATTGAAATTTTAGACTTTCGGCTTTTTTCAACATACAGCTACGGTATCTCATCTTTATTTCAACAATATGGATAAAGGATATAACAAATATGTACCATTTACATTTGATATTCTTTTGTATAACTGAAATCTAAATGCAATTTTTGTATGTGAAAACAAGTACATTCCTACATTTATCACTATCTCAAGTACCTAAAATTAGAATCAAGTACATCAGATCAGGTGTAAATGATTAGAACATAATTAGGATGTGGGTGAGACTTGTCTTATTTAAACCTCAGACATTCTATTTATTTTCTATCTATTATTTTTACAAATAAGACGATAAACATATCCAACACACCGTCCCCCTCCTATTTTTCACACAACAACAACCCTGTGAGGTGAGTTGGGCTGAGAGAGTGACTGGCCCAAGGTCACCCAGCTGGTTTTCATGGCTAAGGCAGAACTTGAATTCCTAGTTTCTAGCCCAGTGCCTTAAGCATTTTACTCTTTATTGTTGAAGTATGTGTGGAATCACCTTGCTTAGATGAAAAGAATTCTCCGAGGCATTCGGAAAGAAGGTTATAGATGCCTAATTAGTCTAGAAAGGGATGTTAAAAGATCACCAAACAATTGGGCATAAATCATTTCATGTCTGAAAGGTCATCTACAAATAACTTCAGGCAAAACTGCTAACTTGTCCATGCCAGGCTGTCCCAGCAAGTTCAGTTCCATATCAATGCAAAATGCTGAAAGTCTCTTAGGAAAGTAGACCTTTACCATATGATTTACAGGTAGTTCTCACCACTATTACTGCCAAAGTTCATTTGTCTATTAGAAGGAAGCTGCACAAATTAATTCTACGTTTGTGTGGGTGGGGGGTGCCGTGAGGAAGCATTTGCCCTCCAGGAAGAACACGAGACGACTTAAGTTTGGTTGTAAACATCTAGACAAGAGACCAGAATCCAAGGCACCTATCATTACTGGTACTATCTTTTACCACTGTTGTCCTACTTCTATTTGCAGATCTTTGTATTTTATAATTTTCTCTTTTATTCTGTGTCTCCAAATACTGCCACTACTTACTGCTCAGACTTTTGTTAAATCTGGGGTGTTATGTAGCAGGTGCTTGTTTGTTTTAATTATAAAATCTTGAGCACTTTAACTTCTAGATTTTCTATTGTGATGCCACCAGTTATTGCTCGCAGGCAAATGGTATTTTCTGCAGATATTTCCAGTGCATCATTGCTGCTGCTAACATACCATCGTTTGCAGTCTGTGTTATTATTTTGTAATGGTTGAAATCTTAAGTGATCTGCAAATCTCTCAGGTTTTGGGCATTCTTAACACGCTCAAGACTTAAAATGGGAATGCAAAAATCTTCCAGGGTTTGGCACTTTTCCACAAATTGAACCATTTTATATGTAAGAATTAAGGATATTTAATGAAGCAGAAACACTGAATTATGGCCCATAGTACCAGTTTGCCAGATTTTAACACAAAAAGCAATCTGCAGTTTTCAGAGATTATATAGCCTACATAAAGGAAATGATAATAAATTACTTTACAAAACTAGGGAGCATGTTTCTGATTGTAATCTTTTTTCAATCATTTTTTTTTTTCAAAACAGTGAAAGATTGTAGGGAAGGAAATTTGTTCTCAGAATTTACATAACAGAAACCTTTTCACAGTTTTCGATAGTTCAGGTAGGTGCCCATTTAGAAAGTATAAGAGATGTGTAATAGCTAGCATTTGCTGGATTACTTGAAGTTTCTCATAAATTCTGTATTATTGCCTCCCACCCAGCTTTTCTGACTACTATTATATGAGTAACAGCTGTATGAACCATAAAAAGTATTAATTGGAATAATTTTCATTATATCCTGGTTTCTACTGTTTAGAAGGCTGTGGGTCCTAACAGCAGAGTTACCATAGTTTTCGGCAGGCTTCTATCAGTTTCCAAACAATGAATACAGAAGACAGCTATGGTAAGATAAATTTAATTAATAAAAAACGGCAACTAAATGTGGACTATGTGTACATGAATAAATGCTTTGTGTTTTTAATCTTTAATCTTAGTTGCCACCTGTGGTCTTGATAATCACCTCTGGGCAATTTAGGAGATTAAGGCAAAAAGAAGACATGTTACATATTCCAGAGGAGGGAGGAATCAAAGTAACTAAAATTGGGTGACATAAGGGCTCACACATTGTGATTGGTCTTGCAGTCAAAAGTTTGCATTGAACAGAGTTCTATCTTTCCTACTCAAAAAGAACAAGGGGAAAATGTTTCATCCCTGACCTTGTGCAGTTCTAAAATGCAGCAGAACACCAAGTACAATTTCCTGTTCTGTTGTCATTGGTTGAGAATAGGGCTAGAGTACACATATCTTCTAGTATTACTGTTCATCTTCGTTGTATTGCATCTCTGTAGTGTTGACAATTTTTCAGAAGTACAATAATCTCCCAGGTCTGTTTGACCTGGTTGAGCAGTCTGGAATCATCTTTGGAGGTCACTGAGCTACTGAGTCCCATCAAGCATCTCTGCAATTGCAGCTCAGTTGGTCCTCAACTTAAATCATTTGTTTAGTGTCCTTACGAAGTGTCAACAAGAAAAGTAATTTAGGACCAGTTTTCACACTTATGATTGTTACAGCATCCTGATGGACACCTGAACAAAATTCAGACACTTGGCAACTGGTATGTATTTGACTGTTGCAGTGTCCCAGGGCCATTGGCTTCTGACAAGCAAAGTCAATGGGGTAAACGGGACTCCGTTAACCATGGCATGATTCACTTAACAACAGCAGCTATTCACTTAACTCTGGCAAAAGTCATAAAAGGGGGTGCAACCCATTTAACAACTATCTTGCTTAGCAATGGAAATTGGGCTCGGTTGTAGTTTGTAAGTCGAGGACTATCTCTAATGCATCTAACATCCTGTCCAACTTAAAGTTTAGAAGAAAATCTGCTTTCCCTTTCTAAGGTATCCTGGGTACTCGGAAGTCCAGGGAAATCGTACTTTTGTGAGTTCCACTTGGAAACTTCACATTGAGGGAAGTGCTGGAGCTCAGTTGTACCTGATTTGCTTAAACATGCTGCTAGCTATAGAAATTATTTGTCCTCCCATAGAATCCACCCCAGAGTCAGGAGAATGCCATATTCAGGCCTTCTTTCTACAACACATTTCATTACATGAAGACAATCTAATGTGCTGTGTGAACTGACTACCCCGGTCAGTAAGTGAGAGGGTGGTTATCAATTCAGTTTGTTCCCAAATAACTCTCTGGGATGATACTATCTCCCTAAGGCACCCACGTCGTATATGTGGAATAAAAGAGTAATAAAGGATCATCCTTCCCAGCCAGCCCAAGAGGACTTACGATGGGGCTTCTTGTAGGTAGTCTGTTCCCCTCTACGCCCATAGTTGTCATCCAGGAGTTTGGAAGAAAAAGATTAGTCCCAACCCTAATCAGGGCACTGCAGGTTTTTAGATCTTTTTTCCTTACTGAGGGTAGAAAACCAAGTGACAGCCTCCTTTATGGCAAGTAGGAGGACTTTGAAAATGTCAGTTTTCAATTTTGCCAAGATATTGAAAAATGTGCATTTCCAGTGGATGGGATAAGTCAGTTGCCAGAAGAACGATTAGGTTGATTTAGTTAGTTTACTAATAATAAGCATATGATAGGAATTGGATTCCTTTGTTTGAAAGTATCTAGTGATTTCAGCTGTTGATCCCATCTCTTAAAACATGAGTGTTAAACTCACCACTTCATGTTGCCATCATGTGATGTATCATAATGTTTTTTTTCCTTTCCCAGAGCTCGAGCGGGTATGGCCTGTATGATGCATAGGCCCTCTGGGCTGCTAGTTTGACACCCTTGCCTTAAAAACTTATCAAATAGACATGATTTTGCTGCACTTGGGATGGCAATCTGTTGAATTGTTTGTAAATAAGTATACTGAATTGTACTTTAGTTGTACAATCCAAGAACATCTCACATATACTATTTTGTTAAATGTAATCTTTTACACTGATGGAAGAAATTTTTTTTCACATAGCATCTCATTGGAAATACACATATTGAAGAAAAGAAAAAAATAATGAGAACAGTCTGCTAGCAAAGATTCAGGGTTTTTTATAGATCACTTGAGATTTTAATAATATTGTCCTCAGATTTTTTTTTTCCTGTAGCTGTGTGTTGTTGTGGTCTCTGAATTGAAAGCAGAAAGGTGTAGCCTAATACAATGACTGCCTCCCTCAGACGAATGCCACTTATCTTATAATGCCAGTGGGGACTGTGAGCAGCACCTCTTCAATTTTCTTGAATAACTCTTTTAATTGGACTGTCTAATTGAGTAGCTTCAGGGATACAGATTTTCGGCAGCTTTCTCTTCATTTCATAAATATGCTCATTAACATCTGCCGCATTGTCTTGCACTACTGACTACATTTCTTTGTTTAGTACCCTAATCGCCTAAACCTTCTGAGTGAATTTAATTAGCCAGCAAACTTGAAGTAATTTTGTGGTTGTGGAATACTAAGAACTGATAGCTTTTCTTACCTATCTGATTAATTCCAATGCTTTGGTGTGTTTTTGCATTGCATTTAGAAGAGTATTTGTGGGATACTCATTAGTCCTTCAATGTTCTTTTTTAATAGATGCTTTGGATCCTGAAAAACTAATTCAGTGCCCCTATGACAAAAGTCACCAAATCAGAGCTTGTAGGTTCCCCTACCACCTTGTCAAGTGTCGTAAGGTAAGCTGTGGAAATCTTTTTGTTTAAATGTAGTTGGCAATGCAGAGTATAAAGAATATCTGCCTACCTGCTTATTTCCCAAATGATACATTTACTTGTTTTTTGGACAAGTCAGTGTTACTGCTCTTCCCAGAGCAGATATGTTTTAGTCTTAATCGCCTTCATTCCATTCCCTCCATTTCAAAATGTGGTCCCAGTGTTCTTTTTTCATCATTTGCAAATGATGGAGAAAGAATTGGCTATCTTGATTGGGTTTTGAGCGGTACCAAATTTGAAATGGCATTTTTGGTCTTGTAAATATGATTTTAGCATGAATCATTTTCCAAATAATGAAAAAAGATCTGACCTGTTCATTACATCTCCAGCAGTTTTTAGAGAATTAGTAAGCCATTTTAGCAATTAAGACAGAAATAACATAGCAATAAGAGGAAAGTGTACTGAGTAACTCAAATCAGGAACAGCCAACACCCTAAATGATAGGCTCAAGAACAAGATGGATCTTGACAGACTTGAACATTGGGCCCTATCTAACAAAATGAAATTCAATGTAGAGAAAAGTAAAGTCTTACACTTAGATAAGAAAAACCAAAAGTACACATACAGATTAGGTGAAACCTGGCTTAATAGCAGTAACTGTGAGAAGACTATTCAAATCCTAGTGGGCAATCAATTAAATATGAGCCAGCAGTGGGTAGCAGCAGCCAAAAAAGCCAATGTAATCCTAAATTGCATTAACAGAGGGATTTAATCAAGTTCCTATGAGGTATTAATACCTTAGTAAGGTATAAAGCCTTAGTAAGACCACACCTAGAATACTGCATCCAGTTTTGGTCATCACACTATAAAGAAGATGTTGATTTTCTAGAAAGAATGCAGAGAAGAACATAATGATGATTAGGAGCATGGAGGCTAAAACATGAAGAACGGTTGCAAGAACTGCATGGCTAGTCTAGTGAAGAGAAGGCCCAGGGATGACATGATAGCAACGTTCCAATATTTAAGGAACTGTCACAGAGAGGACAATCCCAAAGCTCCTGAAGGCCAGACAAGGAACAATGGATGGAAATTCATCAAGGAGAGTTTCAACCTAGAAATAAGGAGAAATTTTCTGACAGAAAAATCAGCCTATGGAACAGCTTGCCTTCAGACGTTGTGGTGCTTCACTGGAGGCTTTCAAGAAGAGACTGGACAGCCGCTTAATCAGAAATAGTATAGAGCAGTGGGTTGGACTATACATGACCTGCCCCTTCTAAATCTGTTATTCGTTAATCAGGGAAGTGTACAATGGCTTGCTAGGAGAGGGGGATGTTGCCAGCTGCTGTGAAATAAATGATCATTTAGCCCAGGGGTGTCAAATTCACTTTGTCACGGCAGCATCACCTGATGTATCGGGACTTTTTTCCTTTCGCTAAACTGGGCAGGGCCAGTATGTGACACATGGTTAGCCTCTCGGATCTGACAGATTTAGTCAGAGCTTCCTCAGTCTCCTTCCTTTTTAAGAAGGTTGTCAAGAAAATGATGAGGTGGAAGCAGTTGCACTAACTCAATCCATAGCACGCACACACACACACACACACACACACNCTGTATAGGAACAAAGGGAAGGATTGTATTAAAGGAGAGTCTTACTGTTTGGTTTCATTGAAAAGTTTGTACAGGTTACGGCCACAACTGAGCACAAAATTTCTGTTGTTAAGTGAGCTATTTGTTAAGTGAGTTTTGTCCCATTTTACATCTTTTCTTGCCACAGTTGTTAAGTGAATCACTGCAGTTGATTATGTTAGTTACCTGGTTGCTAAGTGAATCTGGCTTCCCCACTGACTTTGCTTGTCAGAAGGTCGTAAAAGGTGATTCTGTGACCTTGGGACACTGCAACCCTCATAAATATGAGTCACTTACCAAGCGTCTGAATTTTGGTCATGTGACCATGAGGATGTTACAAAGGTCATAACGATGAAAAACGGTCATAAGTCACATTTTTTCAGTGTCATTCAGTTGTAATTTTGAATGGTCACTAAGTGAACTGTTGTAAATGGAGGACTACCTGTGGTTGGAGTAGGTAAAAAAAAAAACACTCCATAAATTCAGTACTCTGAATGTCATTCTTCATTGAAACTAAAATAGTAATTCTGTTCACCGGCTGCTCCTTGAAGGCAAGCCCCTTAAGCACATGACATGACTTCAGCTAGGCCTGCTTATCAGGTTTCTCTACCACAACACCAGTATTTTATGTACAGAAGGGAAGTGTGATATCATGCTCTGCCCCAAACCCAAGGAACAGAGAGCCAAGCTTTGTTACGAGTAAAATATGTCATGACAGCCTAGCCTTGAAACAAGAAGCTGTGTGTCAGCTTCTAACCTGAAGATGAGGACTTCCATTGTCCTTGCCAGTTTGGTCACTATACCTAGTGGAAAATCTTTTGCGATTGTTGCTTCCATTGATTGCTTTAAACCAGTTTGCTTTTTGTCATCAAGTCCAATCAATCAATCAGAGCTGGAATGGACCTTTAAGGTCTTCTAGTCCAACTCCCTCCTCAAGCAGGAGACCTTATACTATTTNAAAAGGGGCCCATTTTCACAAATTCATTTTTTCCAATTTGAAATGGTACCAATATAGTCAAAGTAAACAGTGAAAGGATGGCAAGAAAAAATTTTTTTTGCCTACAATGCAAGAAAATGAACAGTACATAGGACTAGAGTCTGTGCTAGGAAAGGCAGCCTTAGAGTCTCAGCATTGGCAGTGTTATGTTACAATTTGCAAGATGGTAGACTTGGCATAAACACACTCTGTGGATATCCTTGCTTGGAGTTTTGACATAACTTTCCCTATTTTAGGACTTCTTGTTCAGATAAACTAATAATAGTGTCAGGGGCAGGATTCTTTTCACATCTCAAAATCAGTATATGATAAATATAATTAGCAGCATCTTCCCTCCCCTCCTTTGTTTTGGGCCTTTATCAATGTTGACAGATTGCAAGCAGTTTGAGGGAGTGGTATGAGCCATTCTGAGATTATTAAAAATTAACTAATCCCTGTTGTTCCAGGTTTTATCATGAAGACCCCATTGGAAGAAGAAATCAGGACCAATTTTTTTAAAAATTCAAGACAATCCTTTTAAACATTTTAATTTTTTTTAAATGTATTTTATTCAAATGTTTTAATGAAATTGAAAATAAAGTATCTCCAACTCTTTCTTTACCTGTCATTTTTTACACATTCAGCTCTTTCCAAAAATATGAGGCTGTAGATACATGATTCTCTCCTTAAAACAAGACAGCCTTAACTAAGAAGGAACTATTGCTTCAAAATCATGAGTGATCTTTATAATTAAGCGGGGAATTTGAATTTTGCTTGGTCCTAAGCACTCAAACCAGTTTGCCACGCTGCCACTTGTGCTTCTGCTTAGCAGCCATTCTCAGGAGAAACCTCTAGGTTATATCTCCCTATATTGGAGTGGAAGTGAGATTCTTTAATGTTGTAAGAAGCTTAAGGATGGCATTCTGATCAGAAGAACTACATTTCATAAGCATAAGATGCCTCTTAGCCACAGTCCCTTTCAAATTACCATAGATGGCAAATAGCAATAGCACTTAGACTTATATACCGCTTTACAGCTCTCTCTAAGCAGTTTGCAGAGTCAGCCTATTGCCCTCAACAATCTGGGTCCTCATTTTATCCACCTCAGAAAGATGGAAGGCTGAGTCAACATTGAGCCTGGTGAGATTTGAACTGCCAAATTGCAGGCAGCTGGCAGTCAGCAGAAGTAACCTGTAGTATTGCACTCTACTCACTGCGCCAAATGGGCAACTATAAAATGCACAACATTTGCAAAACTATATTCAAAAGCTTTTCAAGCTAAATGAGAACTTGAGAATAAATCCCTTTGTAAGAGCATTCACCAATTTTGGTTGTTTCTATTTGCACGAACTGTCACATCATGCTCAGCCAAAACCTAAACAAAGAATCTTTAGGTTCACTTATATAGGTATCATGCATGAGATGAACCAAGAACTTAGCCAAACCCCATCCCTTTTCTGCACCTAAGGGAGGAGAGAGGAAGGATAAAAGTAAAAGGTAACTGTCTCTAGAAACTTACTGTTTGTCAAAGTGTGAATTTTGCAAGATTTCTTTAAGCTCTACTCTTTACAACATATTTTACCCATTTTCACTCATTTCTTTAGGATCACAAAACCGAACCAAGAGGACAACTCCCAGCAATTATGCTGGTCTTGTTGTATTCAGGTCTTTTCCCGTGTAAGATTGAGATTGTCTTGGCAGTGTATATGTATGTATGTATGCATGCATGCATATATATATGTGCATGTGTGTGTGTATGCATGCATGCATGCATGCATAAATGCATGCATA